TCTGAATTATGAGACCCACGGGTGTTAGCAGCTCATAATGCCTGCTCGCTGCTACTGTAATTTCCCCTGTCAATTATTTCCAAATGTACCTAAATGGCATGCTCCAATAAACACAGCCATGAACACGGTGTTTTTTTCTTGCTTGTGCCAACTATTGTGCAATTTTATAAAGTTTAAGGAGTAAGGTGTGCAGATAGGATGCACACACTGTTGCAAAGTATCCATAATGCATATCGTAAAAGCAGAATCAGGCTAGTGTTACACTCAGTCGTGTTTCTAAGCTGCCATTGCATGAACGCACTATTGTTAACCATAAGTGGCGATGATCTATGTTGTTTACCCAAACTGATGTCACACGAAAAAACAGAACAAAAAAAGCTTTACTCTGACTGAACTGAGATCAAACTGACCGGTTAATGCTTAAGCAGGGCTACTTACTCAAGTCTTTAATGTAAGATCACACATCTAAGGAACTTAATGTATCTTTGCTGTTTGTTTTAGTTTTTAAAAAAAACACTACGATGAGCCAACACTGAACCCCTACAACCGAGCAATGCTGTTACTGATGTGATGTTTAAACTCACAGTAATGCTGTTGGTTCATGTGGATACTTATTTTGCATTTTTCATTAGAAAGTTTCATTATATCAAAAAATAAACACATAAACTGCTGTAACGCCTTTTAACTCTTCATCATGTTAAACCAGTCCTGACACAACACTGGTGTTTGCTGAAAGGCTGATACCAGTGTACCACCGATCTTTGCATTCCTGTGTGATGACCACGTAATCATAGTTCCAACCAGAGTGTGTTATGTGTCTGACATATTATAGCTGTCACTTCGATTAATAGTTGAATATATGTTTACTTGATTTGACTCATTGTTGCTCTTGTTTTTGCATAGTTATTTGCTGATACTTGATTTCCTGTATGTGGCTCTGGTTCCTCTTTGTTCTCTGTTTGTTTGGATGGTTTTGTTTTGTTTGAGCACTTAGTTCACTATGTTGTCTTTGTTATCTTGCTCAGTCATTGTTCCTTAAAGGTACAGTAGGTAATTTTTTTCAGGTTATTTATCAGAATCCAAAAATGTTCTACTCATAAACATACACCGAATAGCGTGTAATTACATCTTCCAACAAACTGATGCATTCTCATAAACTTAGAAGGAAACCATTACAAATATATAGGAGCCTTTATGGAAGCCACCATGTTACTGTGGTGTCTTAAATACAGAGGCCAAGATGGACATCGACATTCCACCTGATGGTGTTTTCTTTATCTAATGACCACATGTTTGTAAGGGATACATAGTAAGTCTTATAAACATGTATATTCTCATCATCTATTCTTCATTGTGTCTCCCTCCTCCTCTACCACCTCATCTTCTTCCTCCTCACCTCAAGTCTCATCTCCTGAACTGAAGTTAAGGCTCTAACACGAGAAAAAATGCATAAACATGCTTTTTTCATTCCCAATACTGTCGCAATTACTTATTGTCAGCAGATTAGATACACCAGACAGCTGACAACAGGCCCACTACAAGCTAACATTATGCCAGCTAATGTTGGGCTTGAGTTTCCTAAAAATTACACTTTCTCGCTGATTCTCACATCATATGAGAGTTCACTAAAGGTCCTAAAGATCCAAACAGTGTTAGATCCATTTCAAAGCGGCTAACAGCAGCTAATAACAGTACTTACTGACAGAAAACTTTAGGATATCCTCAGCAACTCACCTCAGTATCGCTGGCATCAGACAGAAGTGAACTTCACTGATTTATTGACTCACATAAGACTCCATTCACAAAGTTTTACAGCCTCCTGCAGAGTAAATAGACATGGACACATATTGGCAGTTGAGATACACAGCAGATCTACACCCAACACTCACTACTGGGGAACAGCAGTCAGAGTTGTTTGTCCTACGGGAGCCACTGTAGCTATGATTATACATTTAGAGGGGTAAGAAAACAAAACTTAACTGAATGCAAATTATTGATGTCTACAGGTGAGATTTTAGACACTGTAACTTTTAAGTTTATTCAGTTCACTTGACCACTTTCAAGGGCCCGTCACTTTTAAAGGCCTGCTCTCTTCCTTCCTGCCTTTTTAGCTTTGTGCTAAGCTAACCACCTGCATGCAAACCCACTTCCAAAAGTTGGATGCACCAACCATATTCACTGCAATGCATGGAGGCCAGATTAGCACCTGACCACTTTTTCACATATGTACAAACCCTGAATATATCTGCCCCCCACTAACCCTCATGCTGACTTTTGAACTGTGTGCTCATAACAAGCTGAACAGTTCCTCTACTCTTTAGGGCATGGTAACCATGTCTTTGTTCTTTTTGTTTTGCATTTTATCTCACTCCATCTTACGTTTAGCCCAAGAGAAGACAGCAACCTCTTTGGACTTTGTCTCCCTCGGATGTGGCCTTTTCTGGTTGTTCATTGCCTTTGTCCCAAATTTTGCGAAATGCATTCTTGGCATTCAGTTCACACAGAACAAAGTTTGCTATATCACCTTCAATTAAATATAGCCTTTTTGGAGATAAGCTTGTATCTCTCAGCGGGAAAGCAGAATAGCTGCAATATGTGCACTTCCTGTGATAAAAATCTTTTCACTGAATCCTCACAAACGTATTCTAAAACAGAACTGTCATTAGCATCACGAATACCTATTTAATTTGCTAAGTATTGCTGCAAAACGTAGAAAATTTAAAAAGTGCATTTTCTAAAATGCAGCTTTTACTGTAGGTGGAAAAGTCCACATGAACAAAGTCTTGTTTTGAGCACTTATGCTGTAACTGGCCTCTATCGGGAACCGAAGGTGGTCAAACAGTAAAGAGCAAGCGGCTCAAAGTGTATTGCACTGTCAAAATGAGCATGTTTGCACAGAGGGTTTACATTTATGATATGATGGTGTGCATGCAGTTCATTGTCGTGTTCACTGTGAAAACTGGGGTCAGCTGAGGTTTTGTGCCCCAGCTGTCACACTCAGCACACAAAGCCACATGTTCCCTGCCACAAACATACAGGAATAAGTACCTGTATCAACAAACGTACAGTCTGAATCAAAGGCACTTCAAATGGACTAATCACACTCTGGGTTAACAATATGTAATATGATGTACAGTGTCCAAGATGCTACTCTAAGATCTAACACCCTCAACTTCAGCAACAGTTAAAGCATTGTTAAAACCAACAGACAATATTTAAACTTCCCAGTTCTAAAAATGTTCTTTATTTCAAAATGACGCACTAAATATCATTTTGTATACCAGACGATGACATGACATGGCCGCACACACCAAATGTTTTATTCTATAAATTATTTTGAAAACATTATTTACAGATCCTGTAGTTTCCCAATCATTTCTTAGAAAGAAACTCGGACTACATTCTAACTAAAGTTCCCGGTAGTATTGTGCAATGTTGCTCTAACTATACTGCTATACTGAAATCTGCTTGTGACATACATTACTAGAGGAACCTGCTAAACCTGTACACATGCCTTTGACACATAATGGGGAACAAAGACAAAAAGACGTTGTGTGAATTTGTTCACGGGTCGCTTGTACGACATTCGAAACTTGTAGCATTTGCTTATTTGTCGCAAAGACAAAAAAAAAAGTTATGGATGACTTCTGCTTTTTGTTTAAAAGGAAAATGGATGATTTTGTAATAATGACTATCAAACATTCAGCAGTGGGTTTGCAAAGAAAAAAAAGAGGAAATAACAGAAATGTTCACAAAACTCAAGGGTTCATATAAATGTTGCAAACAACTGCGATGCAAAAATAAGTCACATGCAATGCAAAATTATGCTGTTAAACTCCTGCTTACTTCCCCAGAAACGCTAACTATGTAGAAGGTGTGCACAGTTCACCTCCATGTTCTCTGCATACAGTATCCCTACACTGTGATAACTGCCAATGACTTTGTGCCAACTGCATTAAAAACTGCATTCGAAACATACAAAGACAAACTAAAAGGCTGCAGGTCATGTAATTGAACTTCAACACTGCACTCCTCCTGCATGACACGTCCTGATATTAAGCTTGTAGGGTGTAGCCTTGCCAAAATAATTTGCAGTTACTGATGCTGAAACACAGTGAAACACCAGGAAGGGTTAGGACAGCTTAGAGTTATTTAAGAACATAATACCGGGTTCTTTTTACTTCCCCATTGTTGCAAAACCTGTTTGGTTTTTATTATTATACGTTATGTTTTTGCCATTATCTAGTATTGCAGATTATTTATTTGTTGCTCTATTCAATTCAGCTTTATTTATAAAGCGTCAAATCACAACAAAAGTCGCCTCAAGGCACTTTATATTGTAAGGTAAAGACCCTACAATAATATATAGAAAACCCCAACAATCACATGACACCCTCACTTCCCACAGGCAAGCACTTGGTGACAGTGGGAAGGAAAAAGTCCCTTTTACCAGGAAGAAACCTCCATGACAGTGGAGCCACCTCATTACAATCAAGTGTATTAAAGTATAGCTACATAAGGAAAGATATTTCTATATTGTGCTATATGCTAAGCTGGAGCACGGGAGAATCTGCAGTTCTCCTGACAATTAGTGAAACTCTCGAAGCTGATCAAGAACGTTACATGCAGTATTAGAGCTACTAAAGAGGACCGGGGGTTCAAGAGTGCTCCAGCAGGGTGTTATATAAAGACTGTAATCACACTTCACACTTCTAAAAAAAAAATGCTCCATAGCCTGTGATTGATATAAGGGGTTATATGCTTTTCTTGTAAGACTGACTCACAGCCGGTGGCTCATTATGCTCCAGAGAAAGGCAGAGCGAGAGAGAGAGGGAAAGGCGCAATATTACCTAATTGTTATGGGAAGATTATCCTCTCAGAGAAGGCGGGGCGAGAGAGGTCAGATGATGATGGTGGTGATGATGATGGTGTCTGAACCGCCGTGTTATGCGAACGGTCGATGAGAGCGCTCCTTTGGATGGTGGGAGGGGTGAAGGGGGAGGGGGGCGGTCTCACTCAGGAACACACACACAAACAGGGGCCCATCTGGTTCAAGTGAGGATAGGGACCGTCCTGAGCTGAACTCGACGTTACAAATAGGAGCTGCGGCATTGCAAGTGGAGCAGAGTGGAGGTGCGCTACACCGATGATAATATTGGATAACAGAGGCGAGTGAAGCCGCGGTTTGTGGACACCACGGAGGAAGGAAAAGCGCGTTCTTCCTGAACAGGATCAAAAACACGTTTGGAAACGCCGAGAGCGGCCATGCGCACCCGCGGAGGAAACTCCTCATTCCACTGAGGTACAATTATTATCATTTTGTAAACAGAGTTTCCTTACAGTGATCTGATGAGCATACTATAACACCAATAAATTAAAACTGTCTTTTTGTGTTTAAACACCCCGGTGTCCTTTTCTGCGGAACTGTGATTTTTACTCCCATAAAATGTTCACTTTATGTTTTATGTATTTCATAAAAAATCGTCGTACTTTTGACTTTTTCAAAAGCACCTACGGCTGCCTCAAAACTGCGCTCATGATGAAGAAAGAAGAAGAAGAGGAGTAGGGTCATGGCAGATGATTTAAAAAAAAGAAAAGCAGCCGGTCAGGGATCAGCATGTCGGTGTCAGACATGTGGGTCAACGCTGATGGAGCGAGTGGAGACGGACACACCGGAAACCGGTCGTGAATCCGTTGATTAAGGGTTCCGACAGAATTTGCAGAAGAAGGACAAACTTGAAGTACTAAATGTAAATGTAGGTTAGACTGTGATTGGGTCACCTTGTTATCTAGATGTATTTTTACATGTACTTCTTATTTACTGCCTTATACTCGGAGTACTGCCAAAAAATGTGTGGTGTGACTGACAGAGTTTCCAGCACTCTCCTGTCTCACACTGAGTGAGTGAGGGCTTGCAAGGTTATATGGAAGTTGCTCCAGTTTTATTGGAGAGCCGTAATGGAGTTACATAATATTGTGTTGTAATAGCTCTTGCGTAACCACTAAATCCCTCTTCCCTTGTCCTCTCTATCAAATTGATCACCAGGAGGCGCTGTTGCTACATTCCCGTCAGACGTCCAACAGAGTTCAGTGATCCCTCAGCACCACACAGTGGCACTTGACGTTCATCGCCAGCCGGGATTTAATCATCCAACTACCCAGATGTTTGAGGAGGACTCCCAGGAGATGAGGGGCCAAGAAGACGTCGGAGTGCTCCGTGCCGTGGAATCACCCACAGCAGTGGCTTCTGCTGGAGGGGGAGCAGGAGGAGCTTTGTCTTTCACAGATGAAGCTGTGTCCATCCTGACTTCCAGCAGCCTGCTGGCACGCTCGCTGCTGGGCCGCACCTCAGCCGTCAAACGTAAAGAGAGCCCTTCCTCCAGTGCCCGGCGCAAGCGCGAGTTCATACCTCACGAGAAGAAGGACGACAGCTACTGGGACAAGAGGAGGAAGAACAACGAGGCGGCTAAGCGCTCACGAGAGAAGCGGCGCGTGAACGACATGGTCCTGGAGAGCCGTGTGCTGGCTCTGCTGGAGGAAAACGCGCGACTCCGAGCAGAGCTGTTGGCGCTCAAGTTCCGCTTTGGCCTGGTTAAAGACCCCTCCAATGCCCCAATACTGCCCCTCACTACAGCTCCCCAGCACACCCCTCAACCCTTGACTCCTCAATATTACCTCCAAAGGGGGGGCGGAGGCCTCCAAGGCTCCTCAGTACCACATCCCAACAACCAAGCAGGCCAGATGAGCAGCAGGGGCTCCAGGGATGCTGGGAACATGTCAGAAGACTCGGGCTTCTCTACGCCAGGTGGGTCCAGTGTGGGCAGTCCGATTTTCTTTGAAGACCGCCTTAGCGACCATGGGAAATTATCCCCACACCGGGGTGAGGAGCTGGGGTATGACCTCCACCATTCGCCTACAGATCCCCACCACGCTGCAGGACTAACTGGGGGGAAGATGGATCACGCAGAGGCGATGAAAAACCTTCCTCACAAATTGCGTTTCAAGATCCCCGGAAGCAACGACGGAACCGATGCCCAGGGAGACGGTGGCGTCGCCAGACGCAGCCCCACGCTATCTACTGCGGGCCGGGAAGCTCCAAGAGAGAAAGGACTGAGCGGAGGCAGCGAGGCAGGAGCAGGCCCAGCATGTGCCAGCTCCTGGATCCAGCACATCGAGGGGGAGGAAAGCAGGAGGGGGCGACACTCCCCTCAATACAGTGCTTCGACATCCAACTACAGCCTCCAGCCCCCTCCTGCTCAAGTGCAACCTGAGGTCCAGTACCAGCACGAGAACACTTACCTGAAGTGTCAGCTAAACTCCCTCAGCGAGGAGGTGGCTCAGCTGAAAAAGCTTTTCACAGAGCAGCTCATGGCCAAAACCAACTGAGGACAGATGCTGTGAGCCAGTCAACATTTGCCAGCGTCTAGACTTTTAAGGGCAAAGTTTACTTTAAGAAAGCCAAAAAGGACTTTCAAGTCTAGCTCATCATGTGTTGTTTTTATCTCAAGTATTGTAATGTATTATAATAAATGTCTTTAAAGCTCATCTCATAAACCTGCTGTCTATAACAAACACTCAGTCTGAGCAATCTATGTTCCCCCAGACAGGGAGTCTTAACTGTATTGGTGTTAAGTGGATAATAGCTTCTTTATTACGTACACTGTGACAACTAAAAACATGCAGCAAAAGCTGTTTACATCACATCATCACAGCACAAACCTCACACCACTCGGCGATGCCAGATTAAAATGCGTCTGGAAGTCGGCCAGCAGGTCGTTGCCACACTGAGATGCGGGAAGTTGCAGTCCGGTAATTAGAGCAGTATGACTTACTGCACAAACAGTTTCCCACCGCTGAGATGGGTCTGCAAAAAACCCGCAAACACAGGCAGAGACAGACAGTAAACACACACAGAGGTGAGGTTAATAGCCATCAAAACCTCCACGGGTCTCGGGGAGGGCGGGGTGTTACTTGTTACTCTGGTGTTGTTGTGTGTCTTTTAGGAACCACACTGTAACTTCTGCTCTGTTTTAGTGTTTCACATCCACTACTGATCTTTGTCCATGCCTGGGTTTCAACATATTTGTGTTACCTCCCTGTTTTCTGTGATGAAATAATAATGTCTCTCTGTGTGTTTTCATATTCAAAAATAAAAGAAACGTTTGATGGATCCAGCATCACGGTGGCGAGTCAATCATTGCTCATTGCTATTATAAAAGGTTATCAAACTTAAAAAACGTAAAACAGCGTCTTTTGGGGATGGAAATTCTTTCCCAGACAGTGAATTGCAGAAAAAAAGGAAGAATGCAAACGGGAATGAGAGAAGGGTTGACTGAAGAGAAGAGGAGTTTCTCTCCCACAGTCCCTGCAGGCTGCAAGATGGGCTGACAGCCAGGCAGACAGAGACGGTGGGCGAGCCCGCTGTTACTCAACAGTTCTGTTACAGACCTTGGAAAACACAAGCGCTCAAAGATAACAGCTGGAATTACAAGTGACAGGAGAGAATTAATGTTATGAAGAAGGGTTAACATGAATATAGTGAGGTCATGTGCACCCCGAAGGCCACCAGAAGACCTTGACAACCTTTTGCACAGTCCTCAACCAGGAAGGAATGCACTGCCGTTCATTTCCTTCATCCACTTCATGTAATACTATGAAACAGCAGTTAAGAACATCTTAGCTTTCCTACTCAAATGCATGTAAATGGTAAATGGACTACTTCTCATAAAGGGCTTTTGTACTCTACATGCTTCATTCACCTATTCACACACATTCTTATGAGCACTTTTTTTCTGTCAGTACTTCCTGTCTAAGATTCACACGCTGTAAATGACCTGCTCTGCTTCCTTGAGCCACAAGGAGAAACACGACCTCACTGATGGTTATAATAATAAATAATAAATCACCAGCCCACACAAGCATTATGTAGAAGTATATGTGTGTTATCATACATTTGCTAGCAGTCAACAAAAATGCCTGTCGCTCAGTAGCTACCCCAGACTGTGTCACCTTGTGCTCCGTCTGGAAAAATAATAACGAATCATGCCGCGTTGGCGTCAGCAGAGGGCAGCAAAGACAATCTCTTCACTGTGTGCCCTCACCGTCAACCCAAATCTTGTTAATCCTACTGTGGATGGCTGCAGTTTTCATTGTTCCTGTACATGTTGGAAGCTAGTTCACCTGGTGATGCACAAGAGTTAAAGCCAACTAATGTATCAGAAGAAACGTGCAGAAAACTGAGGCTTCAATTAGTGTCTTATTTAGTGTCTTATTATTATTTTGTTATGAGTAGTAAACTGTAAAAGCTTATTCAGCTTGCCGTGTGTCATTGCACTCACAATCATGAGGCAACAATTTTGAGTAAAATGCAGCTAAAGTATATAAACATCAAAGGTTTATTTGGTTGAATATTTGATCATTAAGGTGTAAACTGAATGAACACCAATAAAGTACATTTAATTTAACTGGATTCCAATAACTGGATGTTTTACATTGTAATTATGTAACCAAATTACATGGAAAAGTGACATGAAATCAAATGACATAAAATCAGCGTAACTGTTTTTTCTTATTGCAAAACAAAGACTTATGAAATCTTTTAAATACACTAGAAAGCAGCTGAGAGACACACATACACACACACACAAAGATCCGCCCTGCAATAAGATGAGCTGTCTATAAGCCTCTGAAATGTCGAAATACAAACACTGGATTAGAAAAGATTTGATTAGTAAAACAGGCTGAGAGTGAAGTGAAGAAAGCCTGCGGTGAAACTGAAAGGGAACAAGGTAGAGGCAGTCGCTGCAGGTGTGGTGAGGGGAGAAAGGGAGTCTGCTTTAATGGATCCACTGCAACATGCTGCCGTTCCACGATCATCCTCACCCACATCCATGCACCCATACATCCCCCTCCCCTCCCCACACACACAACCCCCTCTTTCTGCTCCCCTCTTTTTTCCTAGTGAAAGGATAAAGCCTGTTGCTAGGCAGACAGTGCGACAGTTGCCATGGGAACGCTTGCAGACATAGCTAGAAGGGGTCGGGTTGGGGTGGGGATAAGGATGGGGTGCAAGGGGGAAAAAAGAGGGAGTGATGCGCAGACAGACAGAGAGAGAGAGTGAGTCTGTGTGTGGTTTGAATGGGGGAGGGGGACCCAAGTTCACGGCCGGTGCCTCTGCTCGCGTCGTGATGTTTGTCTCCTCCGGCTGAAGAAGGAGATAAAGCGAAAGAATGGTGATTCATACATGTTGAAAATGATGCTTCTCATTAGGGGGTTACCCTCTGATGATGCGTTGGAACAAAGACAAGGCGGTGTGGCAGCTTCACAAATCTAAAAACATGTGGGTAAAAGAAAAAGGATCTCATCATCCAATGCAAAAAGTTGCAGCAATTTAGGTTGTGTGTTTTTATCAAACTAGAGCTCAGAGGGAAAAAAGGAATTCCTCATTTAAAAGGTGAAAAGTCGTGCTTCAAGCCGGGGGAAGAAAAAAGAGATGACCTAATTGTAGAGCGATTACTGACACGTATTTAACTTGCAATTCTTAAAGTAATACGCTGGAATTTCCTCATGTTTTAGTGAAAGAGGATCAATTTCTCATTGTGAACACTCACACACACCATTCTTTTTCTTTCTTTTTCTTTTTTTGACACTGACATAAAAAAAGAAGAGCGCAGCCTTGAAGATAAAAGGAGATAATGAACACATCCGCAGCAGAAGTCAGCCTTCAAGGCAGCCGTTCAGGCAATCTTTTGCCAATTTAAATCACTCTGTGGATAATGCACATTTTACCGAGAGCCTGAAGCATCACTGTGTCTGCAGCAGGGCTATCTCACACAGAGGCGCTCCGGTGATGATCCAAACTGCATTCAAAGGGTACATCACCAGGCTTTTACGCCCAGATTACCACATACATGCTTATTTTCAATTTGTAACATGTTTTTTTTTGTTTGTTTTTTTTAAATGGGCAAAACAAAGATGGACGCTGGTAATATATTTCTGCAGAAAAAGAGTGAGGCCCATCTGCACTCCTCACCTGTCACCCAGTGAAAACATCTGCAGAACGATGTAGAGAAACATGCAGCTGCTGTGTTTCCTGAAAGTAGGGGTGATGCACCACAATGGGAAATGTGCTTCTGTTCCTGCGTTTTGTTTTGGGTGGGTTTCAACTTTCAACTAATACTACTTTTTCAGGTACACCTTGCTAGTACTGGGATGTAATAGTTAGGTGTTTTCAGAATGGCCTTAATTTTTTGTAGCATAACAATCGGATGAACAGGTGTACCTAATAAAGAGGCTAGTGAGTGTATTTGTAGTTCTAGCTGGTGGATTGTTTGTTTGTTTGTTTGTTTGTTTTAAGGTGTTGCAGTGTTTGATATATTGTCTTTGTAAATCACAACTCAATTACATTGCTGATTAGTCCCGTCCAGCACGTTAGTCACACTTCCTGGTGTGAGTCTGTCTCTGATCCAGTCCCCCTGCATGCCACACTGACAGGTATCCATTCAGCCCACTCATAAGCCAAACCAAATGGGCGTTGTTTAAAGTGGAGAAGTAAGATGAACCAAATAGCTTAACTGTTCTCCTCTGTGTTTGAGCCTCCTCCAGACTTTACACCTCTGAGCATGACACACGTTCCTGCTTGCGGTGAGGACTAATCAAAATTACACAACATGCTTACAATGAGTCCAGGTGAGCTGGTTTGACTGGATTATTGAGCACAGTCGTTTGGAAACATACTGTACGCGGCACAGTTCTGCGAATGCAAGAACCGTGACTGCCAGGAAACACCTCCAACATAACAAAACTAAAGATTTTCACTTGCGTTCGTCCACTTGCACTAAACTGTCCATGGTTTCCTCTAAAGGTCACGCACACGTTTGCCCAAAAGTTCTTCCCTGAGTGACAACAAAAGAAGTCAAAACTGCCCAATCGGCGAGGTAGCTGGAGGCCAAAGAGGCAGCACGTGCCAATAGCACACACGTCACGTGTTGCCTGAACTTGAAAAATGAAAGACATTATTTTTATCATTGTTTTTTCCTCAATTAAATCATATTTCCAGTTTGAGTTTTCACCAGCAGACTGGAAATACCTCTGCCTTTTTTTACTGAAAGTCATCTTTGACTTATTTTGTGTTGGATTACATTTAAAACGCTATATTCAAATGTGCACCAAGGTAGAAATACACGAGCATGACCTCAAAGTACTGAAGTAAGTTCCTGTGGGAGAAACTGGTACTTGTTTTTTAAGAGATTTTTTAATGTCATGCTGCTTTACCTCTCACATATCTGTTTTTTATGTCAATGTCAGCAAGAACTGTCAAGATTTACACAAGATTAAATAATTAGATATTTCTAAAGCTGACTTATATCATGTATTCGTAGCCTCTAAAACACTGGTATCAAACAAAAGGCCTGGGGGTCAAAATGAGCCCGCCAAAAACTCAGCCCACAGGATGGCGTTGGAAAATGTGAGAGAAGACATAACTTTATGTACTTTTAAATGTATTTTAAATGTAAATTTGACAGCTTTTTTGGGCTATTCATGCC